TTTTTTTTTCCCCCCCCCCCCCCCCCTATTTTGCAGTCTACCGTGGTATGCATTCTCGTCGACTTTTTGCTTGAATTGGCTATCTACAGCAACTTCGTCCAGGTTCACAGTTTCTTTTGATACAGTGCATATCAATTCCAAACACGCACATAGGCATTATAAAAATTAAAAACTGTGTTTACAAGTTCCTAAGGCTGTAAACCTGCATTTTGTTCATTATTGTCCAGCTTCTTCTTATTCTTCGTCATCTTCATTTCTGTGTTTGTGAGAGAAGATGTTGACGTGTTATCTTGATGGTACTTAATACCTGAATAGCCTTGTGTTCAATTGCAGGAACATTTAGCACCTGCTAATTACATCAAGATTCCCACTGTGAGTATTCTTCTTCGATTAAAATACAATATTTAGACGAAGTGATTGCTCTGCAAATGTCAAGACGATCTCGTCTGCTTATAATTTATCTATTAGCTTAATTGTGCATCAGATGTTTTTGAATTTCTGTATGAGCAGTGAGCATCACTTGGAGCATAAATAACAGAGTTATCTCATTGTTAGTTCTCATATTCTTCTCTGTTTTGTAGGACCTAGATAACTATAAAAAAGGATGTAAGTTTCTACCCAAACTTAATAATGAAATACATACGAATTCCACTTACAAGGAGCGGTTTTCTAGCTTGCAGAATTTGGTACTTATCATGGTAAGTCCTCATATTTATTCAGTTCTGTTTTTGCTCATCAAGTACAATATCATTTGAATTGTACTTACAGAACTTGAAAAGTATATTATAACGCTCTAGTTTATATTTTCTTCGGTGTCCTAATTAGTTTGAGAAAGATCGAGTTCTGGTACCAAAAGAGACCTCCTGGTTTGGGTATTATCCAGATGGTTCCTGGAGCACTGTTTTGCCTGCACAAGAGGTAATGTTCGTTTTTAACTTGCAAAGTGAAAGCGTCATAAATAAGTGGTACTAAAACTTGGATACACGACCTCTATCTAATTAAATGACAGGTTAAACCACCTCATCGAAAAACTTCTTTTCTGCACACTTAGGGGTGTCTTAACAGGTTGGACCTGTTTAAGGCCTGAAATTGAACTCATCTTTTTCTACAAGGCCCATCCTGAGGTGGGCCAGACCTGCAGACCGGTCTCCCATAGATCCGTTCTCTGTTTTTGTTTTCGGTTCATAACACCGAGCAGGGCAGAAGGCCTAGCCCATTCTGACATATCCCTAACTGTTTTCTCAAAGATTGGATCGTGCTAACGATGGTGCATTTTGCCTTGCAGACTACCCTCTATTCCGAAGATTGGATCGGTGTGAAAGCATTGGATGAAGCTGGGAAGGTGAAGTTTTTGAAAGCATCGGGTCATCATCTTGAAATTTTTCATAGTGAAATGAAAGATTACATACTTCCATACTTGGTGGAAAATGGACAAAGGAGACTACCAGATTCATATCATGTACAGCCTTTTTCTGGTTTCAAGGAAGCATCTATAAAGCTATACACTTCACATTGAAGTTATTGCTAGAAGTTCCACTAAAATTGTCATTTAGATGAGTATTGTCGACTACACGCTTCGTTTGTATTTGTAGTACTATTGATAAAATTAAACTTATTCTTTTTTATAT